CAACTGCAGCAGGATGTGGGTTTGTAGGGATCTTCCTCCCCTTTTCCAGAGCACATCGTGTTCGAGCATCCACCCACGTCTTGTGGAATCCAATGCCATTGCCTGACCTTGGAAATGAGCAGTGCTGCTAAGTGCGTCCACTCTTAACATGGTCCATTTGCACTTAAAAGTTTAATGTTAATTTTTTAAAAATCTATGTATACATTTATAAAATTAGTATAAAAATGTATTTTAAAAAACTATTTTTTAATGTTTATTCATTTTTGAGAGAGAGAGACAGAACATGAGCTGGGGAAGGAGAAAGAGAGGGAGACACAGAACCCGAAGTAGGCTTATAAAAGTAAAGAAAAGATATAGAAAAGCTGTGGGTGCCCTCAGAAGAATAAAGCAAATTAAAGCATGTGTGTGTCTCTCTGGCTTCTAAGGAGGCAGTGATTCCCAAAGGCTGCAGTCTGGGTTCAGTGGTACTGCTTTCTTTCTTTTTTTTTTTAAATTTTTAAAAATGTTTTATTTATTTCTGAGAGAGAGAGATTGGCAGCGTGAGCAGGGGAGAGTCAGAGAGAGAGGGAGACACAGAATCCGAAGACAGGCTCCAGGCTCTGAGCTGGCAGTCAGCACGGAGCCCGACGCGGGGCTCGAACCCACAAACCGTGAGATCATGACCTGAGCTGACGTGGGACGCTTAACCGACTGAGCCACCCAGGCACCCCTCAGTGGTACTGCTTTCTTTCTTTCTTTTTTTTTTTTAAACATTTATTTATTTATTTTTGAGAGATAGAAAGAGACAGACAATGAGCAGGAGAGGGGCAGAGAGAGGGACACACAGAATCGGAAGCAGGCTCCAGGCCCCGAGCCGACAGCACAGAGCCCAACGTGGGGCTCGAACCCACGAACTGTGAGATCATGACCTGAGCCGAAGCCGGATGCTCAACTGACTGAGCCACCCAGGCGCCCCTCAGTGGTACTGCTTTCAATCTCATTGGCAAAACCTCGAATCAGTAGCTAAAGACAGATGGCAAGTATCTGGTTAATTAGACAACAATAAAAATGACAGTCTTTTTTTTTTAAAATCACACCCCATCCTAATACCCTAACCCAAGAATTAAGTATTTTGATTGCTCTCCAATGAAGAGCAAAAGAGTTCTCCATGGCCATTTCTCTTGCAAAGACCAACTACCATCTAATCCTTTATAATTCTGCACACTAAAGGGCAGAATTAAGCAAAAAAAGCAAAAGTGATGCTAAAGGGCACTGATGCCCTGAAAACAAATGTTATTGACCATGGCTCGGTGGCAAAGGCTGTTATAGAAAGGGCAGAAGTTGAATCTTAGAACACTATTTCTCTGAAATTCAAAAAAAAAATTTTTTTAAACAAAACTGCCTGGAAATGATAAAATAGCATAGGCCTATTATAATATTTCCATAAAAATTACATGTGGATATTTATATACTCCAACACACTAACCTCCCGGTTCTAACTATTTACATGTCGTTAAGCAAGTTATTTAAACTTCCCTAGAAATTTCCTCATCTGGAAAATGGGTATAATCAAGAACACCTGCTACATAGACATTGGCTACATGGATTAAATAATGTCCATAAGAAAAAGTTTAGATAGTGTATTCTACTTAATAAAAGCTCAGTAAATGTCAGCAATTGTTTTATTATTACCATTATTAACACAGACCTTTCATTCTCAGACCTGTTCAAGCTGCAGGACTTCAAATGGAAGGGGCTACTGTCAACATTATATTGCGCCCATTTGAAGTTAGGAAAAATTCAGAACAAATCACTATTCACCACTTCATTGAATCCTTACAATACCAACACCTAGAAACAGGAGAGCTATTGTCTTCATTATACAGGTAAACTTCAGTTTTAGCTGAAGTGTAGACGCAAAGCGATTAGCCGAAAGTCACAGAGCTAATAACCAGCAGTGGCAGGATTCAAGGCTGTTCTACTTCCTCCTTCAGGGCTCTTCCCATTCTTTCAGCCTTTACTAAAACAGCAGCCTCATAATAGTTCATTTCAATCAACAAATGTGACCATAAATGGGTTAGCAGAAAAACCACAAATGGGAAGAATGTAACGTGAACCCAGATTAACTATCGTTGCATAGATACAAATACAGGCAGCTCTGTGCACAATTTATGGTTCTGGTTTGAGTCTTTATATATACCCCATCCCACCCTACCCGCCCCCCACTCCCCAGCCATACATACACAGGGCATAGTGCTGTGCACAGAGCTGGTCCTCAAGGATTCTGGGAGACTGATACATAGATGGAACTTCTTCTCTACCATATAACACAACACAAGCAAATGGCTATAGAAAGGTCAAAGTATTTGTCCAAATAATCCTTTTAAATAATTTTTTTTAAAAAGAAACTTAGCTTGAAAATTTTGTCAGATGAGAAATTAAAACTATTTTTAACATTCTTGTTCAGATACATTTCTTAATTCTCCGTGTCACTTACATGCATAGAGAGAGAACAAAAGATTAAATTAAACTAAATAAATCCTTTAAAAATACAAATCTCTGCTCAGAGGGTAAGAAGGATTCAATTAATAAAAATTCAAAAAACCAAGGTGAGCTTTATAAAGGATTATCATCCTTGTTCATCTTGTTATATGACAAGCAATCTTCTACTCTTAATCAATCTGAATAGCTTTTGACTATTATTATTTGTTATCTAACTGGAAAGGTAGGAAAAAGAATATGAGCTGGGAATAAAAAGCCTTTTATGAGAACACAGGAGACTATTAACTAAAACAGTATAAATTGCATTGACAATGATTATTAAAAAAACAAAAACAAAAACTACTGATGACAAAAAAAACAGAATGGAATTGGCACTGTGTGATGTTGCTTTTTTAATCCTGATGTTACAACATTAGATGAACAAATTCATGAGCTAGGTTTATTTAATCCTGTACTCTCCTTCACCAAGGGTGCCATATTCAGAGACTACAGTCTTGACCACACCACTGTGGAATTCTGTAGTGAAACACTCTAGGTCCAACTGAAACCTTTACTCTATTTTTCCACAAGGAGTTTTATGTCTAGCCTCTGCTTCTACCAGTGACCAAGAAATGGCCAATATGATTCAATGGGCATAAATTCCTACCTAGATCAGCACTGTACCACTGCCCCTGTCACTACAGGGGTCAAAATGGTGCATCTGGATGGAAATGGGATGATCCAGACAGCTCTGCTCCCCTCGTCTGGCTGGGGCAGGGATATATAAGATAGAATAGCACTGTTTCTCGATGTGGGTCCTGAAGAAAACTGTTCATGGGAGAGATGCCATTAAAAAGTTGGATTTCATGGGGCGCCTGGGTGGCTTAGTCGGTTGGGCGTCCGACTTTCGCTTGGGTCATGATCTCGCGGTTCGTGGGTTCGAGCCCCGCGTCGGGCTCTGTGCTGACTGCCAGCTCAGAGCCTGGAGCCTGTTTCAGTCTGTGACTCCCTCTCTCTCTGACCCTCCCCTGCTCACACTGTCTCTCTCTCTCTCCTAGAAATAAATAAAAACATTTAAAAAAAAAAAAGTTGGATTTCATAGACAAATATACTTGGGAAAGAAAGTACTTCGAGCCTTCATCTGAGAGTTTCACAATGCAGACTGGCATGGTAAGCATTATAAAGAGTCCTGCAGCAAAAAACTCTAATACTTTGTTCAACTCACTAGGTCCCACATTTATTTGATTATGAATCTCCTTGCCAGTAACACCTTCTAATATTGAAACTTAGTTAGGGAAATGCTTGAGACTACTCTACCCTTATGAGCTGCGAGGCTTCAGGTCTAGCTTTAAGATGACTCTTGTTTCCCTGACCAAGAATTGTGGCTCAAACAAAGGTTTAGTGTAAAAATTAAATTAGAAATGTGTCATTCAGATTTTGACGACCAAACTGCTAAGTAATATGTAGATTTTATTTTATATATGTATAAGTAAATATGTAAGGAAAGCAAATATTTGAAAAACAAATGGAGAAAAACACATTTTTACGATAGTATTTGCTATCATGGCCCCACCACCCAATATGTATGTCTTTTCACGTGCAAAGTGAAATAAGAAAACAAAGTGATTACCTAATATTTCAAGTCCAACTCTCTTTCTCAATTATATAATTTTGCCTGTTAATTTCCAGATAATTCAAGCTTGCCAAGTTTGTATTTGGACATGAAGGATAAAGTGGGAGCCAAAGTCATCAGAAAAGTTATCATAAATTTCCACTAAGCCATTTAAGTAATATTTTAATAACAAATTGAGCCTTAAATAGATATAGTCATTTGACCATCTTTGAAACCAGTAAAGAAATATCCAAAATATTATATAATACACTGAAAATTCCCCCAATATCTGAGAGTTAATTTCCCCATATTTCTGAGCACCTAATATACTATGAAAGAAGATCTGAGTACAATGGGTACACCTATCATAGTCTCCAAAAATTATTTTCCTAGGCATAAAACATCTTTTAAGCAAAATTCATAGATTTCCTTTATAAGTTCAAGTATCTCCAGTAATTCAATCAAAATCCATTTATATTCATCAAGGGGAAATCTGGATACCATGGATGTGATCTACTTTTCAGATTATCCATTCAAAACATGTTTTCATTAATTTCTTAAAATTTAACTCATACCAACCCATAAGAAGATATATTCATATTTAAATTTGAAAGCTATTGTCTATTGCATTCTTTTTAACTGAGAACCATTAAAAACATAATTATGCAAAGTTATCCCTTTCCAAAATACAGCTGGCAAAAACGTCACACAGTAACACAATCTGAGTCAATGAGAAAACAGGCAAGGACCCCTTCCTCCTTAATGGGGGTGGGGGCTGGAGCGGGCGGGGGGGGGGAAGGCAGGTAGCTGTTAATGAATTTATTTAACACTTTGATGTTAGAATGAACTTTCTCTTCAACTCATTGCATTTTAGGTTTAGTGGTCAAAATGATCATGTTTTCAAGGAGCTCTAAAGGCAGTGCCTTACCAGTGTAGATGCTGGCATTGGAGGCTGGGATACCAAACTGTGACTCGATGAACTTGGGAATGAAGGTAATGAAAGCAGTTACAATGGCACTCTCAGCTGTGTATGACAAACTCACAAAAAGGAATGTCATGTTGCTTAAGATCCTGACAGCTGCTCTTGGTAGGTCTACAAAATGACAAAAATGACAAATGAATGTTATAAATAAGGGATGGAAAGTAAAATAAAATTGAATTGTTTTTGAAATGAACTGGAAATAGCCATTCAGCAATATTCGAGACTATTGAATAGAGTATAAAAGAAAAAGTTGATGACTGATTAGAAACCAGCCCCTTTATTAAACAGATTTGGGTGTTCTTTTTTAAAATTTTCAACTACGATAAAGAAATTTGATAAAGTAGCAAAAAAAACATATCCATGCACAAATAACCTTACAAGAAGTATCCAAGCTAAGGACTTCTGTTTTAAAAATTGTTTAAGGCAAATTATTTACATTTTTATTAATTAAAACAATGTTATTCTTTGTTGAGACCCAAACATATACTAAATGTGTCAAGTACCTGCAACAGTCCTACATTATAGTTTTCCCTTCATTCAACTAGCACTTCCCTGAGAAAATGCACTTCTGATTTGTCATGTTCCTGACCTGGCACTGCAGACACCCACAGCAGGGCAAATGGTACATGACTTTGGACATCTGATCTTCCAGCCTCATTATGAAACAGGAAAAGATATAGCTAAAGGGGCTTAAGGGACACATCACCAGGTCAGATACTCCCAGGGACTCTGGACTGGGGAAGGAAGAGAGATGATCTCCAAAGTACAGCCCAGAGGCAGGGGCTCAGCACCTGCCCAGTTGCCTCTCAAGGGAAAGAGAATAGTCTCATCCTCAAGTCTTTGTATTTATTTCCTAAAACTTGCCATATATGCTTTAAAATGTATGTCCAAATGTCTTCATTGCAGTATTATTTATAATAGCAAAAATTTAAGGAAAAAAAATAAATGTCCATCACTGGAAAATGTTTAAATAAATTACAGCACAGCCATATAATGAAATACTATGTAGTAGTTAAAAATGATGTAGGGCTACACACATTGGCATAAAAGGACTCCAAGAAATATTTTTATTAACACATAAAACAAGCTGCTGCAGAAATATACATATACATGTGTATGTAAATATATATACATATATATAAGATCTAAATAAAAATCACACAAACCAAAACAATGCATTTATATGTGGTTGAATACATACTTCCCAATATATACAACACCAAGAAATTCTGTAAGTGGGAATAAGATTGGGAAAAAGGCATAAAAGGAAATTCTTGTGCATACACTTTTGCATTTTTGCATGTTTATAATGTGAATTAACTCACATGTATGTGATCTTTACATATCTTGGAATGAATATATCATGGAAAAGAGAAGCCACACTTTTCTGACATGTGCAGGCATCTCAGTTATGAGAACAGTTATCTACAACATAAGAAAATCATTTCATAAAAATTAAGGAAAACTTGTTATTAAAGTTATAATTCATAGGCTCTTCACTAGAATTTAAAACTTAGGAAGTCAAGACTATCTGCTATTATCATTTTAAAATGCAAATTAATTTTAATGTTCTATAACTTAACTGTGTAAAGTTGCATGAACATTTTAAAATAAAAATTAAGATGCGTTCTTCATTTTTTAACATGGATAAACACACCAGAAACACACCCTTTCCCTACTCGGTCACTCTCTCTTAAAATAAATAAACTTAAAAAAATATATGTGTGATGTTTCTGTCTTCTTTTTCATTAAAGAAGGTGTTATTTAAGAAAGACTTAGCAAAAGTTGACTTTCAACAACTTTAAGTTATCTTCCTCCTTTTTTCCATGTTCCTCCTTCCATTTATTGGAGCTAAACCTTCAGCATACATGCCCCACAGGAGCAGGGGGACCAGATATCCAAGGTTGTGTCTTTAGCTGGTGGGACTGGGAATTTGTTTAACTATAGGAAGAGTGGGTTAAGTAAGTACATTGAGACTAAGTGCAGTCAATTTTCTAATGGCCAGAGAAGGGAGTTACAAATACGGATAGGGGACAGTTACATATCAGATTGGAACTGAAGGTAATGGTATGAATTCATGGGATGGGTGGATAGATGATAGATAGATAGATAGATAGATAGATAGATAGATAGATAGATAAGATGATAGACAATAGATGGATAGGCAGATAAAGATGATAGATGATAGATTTGTGTATGTGTGTACATACACATATTTCCTAATTCTCTCTTCTACAGGGTTTAGAATTGTATAACACCCTAGGAGCAATGAGCCCACCTAGCACCCAGTGCTTAGTTTTTAAAGGCCACCTTCCACTAAAAGGAACCAAAGCTTCTTGGAGAAATGTCTAACTTCAGAGCTGAGGCAGAGAAAATACCACATGAGCCTGGAAAACCTTGTTAAACAAGAAAGTAAAGTGCTCAAAGAATGATGGAGACTTGCCAGAAGGACACCAAAGACAGTTTGAAGGATCCCCAATAGGCAAATTTGAAGCAATTTAAGGTCAATGGATGCTAAAAGTGGTAAGTGAAAGTTTAATAGAAATAAGACACAGTCAATCCTCATTATTCAAAGATTTAGTGTTTGCAAATTCACCTACTCACTACAATTAATTTATAACTCCCAAATCAATACTTGCCAGTGATGGGATTGGGGGTGGGGTGGGAGAGAGGTCTCATTCAAGGACATGCATAGAGTGGCAAAAAAAAATGTTGAGTTGCTGGACAAACACATTCTTGGCTAAGGCTGCATGAGGCCTCTCACTTTGCCTTCTTGGGTCAGCTTTCATGTGGCTAACAAGGGTCCTTTTCACAGCATATTGTCACATTTTTAGCATTTTTGTGCTTTTAGTGATTTCCCTGTTTCAAATGGCCTCCAAGCATAGTGCTAAAAAGTGCTGTCTAGTGCTCCTAAGAGGTTTTGATGTGCCTTATGTTGAAAATACATGTGTTAGATACACTTCCTTCAGGCATAAATCACGGGATTTATAAAACAGCCCATGCTGTTGGCCATGGGCTCAATGTTAATGAATCAACAATATACAGTAAAACTTTGGATTGCAAGTAACTCATTCTGCAGGTATTCCTCAAGACAAGCAAACATTTTTAGTAAACTTTAACTTGATAAATGAATGAGGTCTTGCAGTATGAGTAATATGTGACGTCAAATGTCACATGATCACAACTGAGCCAATGGTTCTTCTCTCTCCCTCCCTCTCTCACTCACTCATTGTGGGATTGTGAGTGATCAGATCATCAATGCAATGTCACATTCCGTGAAATCCTCAAAAGGAGTCAAAAGCAAATGTCACTGAATAGGTTCCTTATTGAAGTTGCATAAAAAGAAAAAGATTCCATTGAGCCAACAGATAGGAGCGATTCTGTCATTGATAGTGAAAGTTGTCCTATACAACTTCCTCTCTCATCTCTTTCACACCAGCCATGAAGGTTTTCAAAGGTAAGTGAAGGTTGATTTCTTTATTTTCCTTTATATTTTATTATTTATATTATATTTTATTATTTATTATTATATATAAATAAATATATTTAATTATTTATATTATTTATTATTATATTACTGTATCATACTACAGTATTGTAATCATTTTTACATGAATATTTTTGGGTCGTGGAACAAATCATCTTAGTTTCCATGATTTCTTATGGGGAAATCACTTTGATATACAAATGCTTTGGATTACAAGCATGTTTCCAGAATGAATTATGCTCCCAAACCAAGGTTTTACTGTATATTAAACAAGGTGTCATTGAATAGAAACATACATAAAACAAGGTTATGTATTGACTGGTTGACAATTATGTTGTGACAGGAATCCACCCCAGTATTTCCACTAGAGCAATGCTTCCATATTCTCTAAATCAGTGTTCATGTTGTTTCATGAAACATAACTATCACGAATGAGAATCAACTGGATTTGCATAGTTTCAAAGTACCTCCCCACAGGGCACCTGGGTGGCTCAGTCGGTTAAGCATCTGACTTCGGCTCAGGTCATGATCTCATGGTTCCTGGGTTCGAGCCCCGCATCGAGCTCTGTGCTGAATGCTAGCTCAGAGCCTGGAGACTGCTTCAGATTCTGTATCTCCCTCTCTCTCTGAGCCTCCCCTGCTCACGCTGTCTCTCTCTCTCCCTCTCTCTCAGAAATAAATAAAACATTAAAAAAATTTTTTAAATAAAAAAACAAAGTACCTCTCCACAAAATACTTATAAATTACTTATTGACTTATAACTGCAATATATTTATTAACTGTAGAGAAACCTGGTAGATACAATCTTACCCAAGAGATAAAAGTTCACAAGGAAATTAGCACTCTATAGCTTCTGTTTTAAGGTACTGATCACGGCATCATTTCAGTGGTATGCCCATCAAACCCAAATTGAGAGACAGTCTATAAAGTTGTCAGCTTGTACTTTTTTAAAATGTTCAAGGTCATAAGAGATAAGGAAATACGAGAAACTGATCCAGATTGAAGAAGACTAAAATACACCATAACTAAATACACCATGTGGTCTGTGAATTGAATTTGGACATAAAGGACATTGTTGAAATAACCAACAAAGTCCGAATAGAGCTTGTGGTCTAGATGGTAGTAGTGGATCAATGTTCATTTCCTGATTTTGATGGCTGCACAGTGGTCATGTGGGAGAGTGTCCTAGTACCTAGAAATCACACACTGAAATAGCACAGGACAGCAGACCATTATCTCTGCAACTTCTCAAATGGGTCCAAAACACTGACAATTGGAGAACTGGAGTACAGCTCTGTGTGCTACTTCTGTGACTTTTAAGTAAATTCAGAATAGTTTAAGAAACACAAAGTTTAAAAATTTAAGCTAAATCCATACATTTGCTGTCAAATACCTAATATTTATGCTGTAGAATATATTTTAGATAAGCTTATTAGTGTCATTTATAACTGTCATCATAAAGTTAAAAATGCAGTAGGGGAGCACCTTGGTGACTCAATCGGTTAAGCATCAGACTCTTGATTTTGGCTCAAGTCATGACATTACTGTGAGGTAGAGCCCTGCATTGGGCTCAGCACTGGGCATGGAGCCTGCTTTAGATTCTCATTCTCATTCTCTCTCTTTC